TATATATATATATATATTCATTCATGTATGTATGTATGTGTGAACGAGTGTTGGTATATGAAAGGAAAGGTGGTTGAGAAAAGAAGAGTAAATTTGAGTTGATATGATATGGAATGATGTAGCCTATATTTATTGTGTTTTCGAAAATATTTCGTCGCCCTTATCATCTCGTCGAATTGTTTATTTTTTCCATTTATATACGAATTGTTTCATTCGAGTCGATCGTTTAGATTGGATTGTTTTATTTTGTTTATTTGTTTTAAGGGTTGAATAACAATTGCATTTTTTGATTGATCATAGTTAAAGGAATTCCATCTGGATTTTGTCCATTCAGTCTTTGGATATGTGAACTGATTGATAATAATTATGTGAAAATTCTTCGTAATTAATGATCGAGTTTGTTTAATTTAAGTGTTTTGGTAGTTCGACTGAAGTGTTGTTAGTACGCGTAAAACATTTTATTTCATGCTCAGTGAGCAATTTCATTGTTAATATTTGGTTATAGATAGTATAAGAGCTAAGTAGTTGTACAGTGTCTACGAAGTATACACACTTGTATCTATTTATCGTTAATGTGCTGCAGTTGATGTATACATAGGTGATCGTCGTACGAATGTGAACGCCGGCAATTATTATTGATTGTTGCTTGAAAACATGTAACGAATCATACTTTTAGTGAAATAATGATGTGGGTATCATTTTATATGGATCGTTTTTATTTGATTTTGCGTTTCATTATATCGTTGTTATGTTACCACTTTAATAAAAGTTTTTGTTTGCAATTTTCATAATGAGATTTTGTGTATAATTTGAAATATATGCGAAGCCGTTGCTCAAATCAGATCGGCATTCTCTATTTGATTTTGTTTTGATTTGTTGTTCGATAGTTTAGATCTGTGTTAACATTGACAGCGTTGATATGATTATTATTATTGCCATGGTTTGGTTATTTTTCCGTTTTTATTATTATTGTCAATTTCTAAATATTAACATTTATTTGTTTTGTAAGATTTTCAATGCTGAATTGTAAAAAAAAGTGAGTATTTTTCTGTTGTTTTAAATCAATCACCAATATTCAGAGGCCTTGTTCGTTCGCCCGTTTGTTAACAAACTAAAATGGACGAGGAATACGATGCAATCGTTCTAGGAACCGGTCTCAAGGTCAAACTTATTTCGTATCTCAATACTTGCATCATATACATTTATATTATTAACGTTATGATTTATTTCAGGAATGCATTCTGTCCGGAATGCTCTCCGTGTCGGGTAAAAAAATTCTTCATATCGACAGAAACAACTATTATGGTGGTGAATCGGCCTCTTTGACACCGTTAGAGCAACTCTTTGAGAAATTCCTTGGTTTGTTTTTATAATTATTGGTATTGTTATTATTGAGGTCATTAGTATTATTGCTGGAATGATTTTAATCAATTATAGGACCGAATGCGAAGCCACCGACAGACATGGGTCGAGGGAGAGACTGGAATGTGGATTTGATCCCGAAGTTTTTAATGGCTAATGGCTCACTGGTTAAGGTAATTGATTACCTGAGTGTCTGTAATATATATGCGATATAATCAACCTGAATTCAGCTACTGATCCATACGGGCGTAACCCGCTACCTCGAATTCAAGTCAATTGAGGGATCGTATGTGTATAAAGGTGGTAAAATCTATAAGGTACCGGCCGATGAAATGGAGGCACTTGCAACAAGTCAGTGTCAACACGCTTTGTTCGTTTAAGTTGGTTACACGACAGCGATTGTTTTATTTCATTGTTTAGGCTTGATGGGAATGTTCGAGAAGAGGCGTTTCAAGAAGTTCCTGATTTGGGTGCAAAACTTTGATATCAACAATAAGGCAACTTACGAAGGAATGGATCCGACAATTCATACGATGCAACAGGTTTATTGATTATGCCAACTGAGTGCTGTTTTATGTGTGCATTAGTAAAACTGAGCCTGACTGACATTACAATTATTGTAGGTTTATGACAAGTTTGGTCTCGACGAGAATACAGCTGATTTCACCGGTCATGCACTAGCACTCTATCGGGATGATAAGTTGGTGCTTCAGCTTTATTTACTCGCTTTGAGTTGTTGTGATCATTTGTCTTGCAGCTATAAGAACGAACTGTTTGGTCCGTCTGTCGAGAAGATTCGCCTTTATTCGGATTCACTAGCCCGTTATGGCAAATCGCCATATCTGTATCCCCTGTATGGACTCGGTGAACTACCACAAGGGTTTGCTAGGTGAATATTCGTGTTATGATTAGGCTCTTCGTTACCGTAATTTATTCATTGTTATTGTGTATATAGGTTGAGTGCTATTTACGGTGGTACATATATGTTGGATAAACCGGTGGAGAAATTAGTGTATGAAAATGGGAAGGTGATTGGTGTTCAAAGCGGTGTAGATGTGGTAAAATGCAAACAGGTAGGTGTTGTTGTTTAGAATTTGTTTCATTATCTTAACTGTAATCAGGTAGGTTTGCTTGGATGTTTTGCCGAATTCAAACGTGCTTTAATCGATTTTTGATCGTAGTAGGTTACAAATTTTGAGTGGTTTTGTTTTGAGGTTTATTGTGATCCGTCGTATGTTGCTGATAAAGTGAAGAAAGTGGGTCAAGTGATTCGTGCGATATGTCTTTTAAATCATACCATTCCGAACACGAACGATGCGCAAAGCTGCCAAATCATCATTCCTCAAAAGCAAGTGGGGCGTCATTACGGTTAGTTTTTTACTTCAGTTATGTTATTGCTGAGGCTGAGCTTGGGAAAAGGCGTTTGCTATAGTAAATAACGGAATTATGTCAATACAATGAGTGGATAAGTGAGTGTAACCTTCAGATATTTATATTTCATTGGTATCAAACGTGAATATGGTGGCACCAAAAGGCTGGTATATTGCGATGGTGTCGACTACTGTGGAAACCGATAATCCAGAAGAGGAGATTCAACCAGGACTGCAACTTCTTGGATCTATCACAGAGAAGTCAGTGAAGTTATTACTTCGTTTTCATATTGATTATCGATAATGATACTTGCAGATTCGTTCGTATTTCGGACGTATATGAACCAACGGATATGGGTAGCGAATCGCAGGTGTTCATCTCACGTTCGTATGATCCAACAACGCATTTTGAGACGACTTGTAAAGATGTACTCGATATATTCCAGCGAGGCACGGCTACTGAGTTTGACTTCTCGAAAATTACGCATCTCTCGCTTGAAGATCAAGAATAATGAAGTTTGAGTTAAGATCGATCGGTTGAATGATTGCTTCGATTGAGATCATTTATTAAGTCAAATAAGTTCTCAACAAAATTATATCTGTCTAGTATCTATCAATCTATTCATTCACCTATCTATCTACCCATCTGTAGGTCTCAGTTTTCATTGGTTATTGATGATAATACAATAATTGCAATGATAATAAAGAAAAAAGACTGCAGCAACAACAACACTAATAATTATGATTAATTGCATCGCTATGTTGCATCTCGTCTCTGTTGTTTCCTTTCCTCTTCTCTTTTTTTATACCTGTCATCTGTAATGGTAACTGCAGCAGTATTTTACTTGTTGATAATATCATTCGGTTTGGTAATTATTTATACTGTTATATGGTTCGGTTGACATGATGTGTTTATTATTGTGAAGTTGATATCATAGCAGTGATTTGGCGATAGGATATGACTATTTAGGTTAGTTTAATTAATGCTCCCCTCTTTCTCAGTGTCAGTTTGTTGGTTCAAAAATTAGATGGATGTCTGGGCAGACGGGTGGGTGGATGGATGGATAGATTGAAAATATGAAAATGAATATTATGGTGGTAAGATATTGATGATAGTAAAATGAGTAATATTATTTATGAATGGAGGTATGTTTTGGCAAGAGTTTGTGTGTGCAACGCTTTGTTTTATTTCTGATTCCACATTAGTTGTTATTTTGAATTGTTGCGTTTTACTTGACCCATTTTTATTGTTGTATTGATTGCGAACGTTCAGCAATATTGCTTCTGAACTCGCGGGCGTTTCTCTGTTTTGAAATGTTGGTTCATTTCATCGAATGCTTTTTATTTATTGTTATTACTTTCATAATTTTATGATTGTTTGATTGATTGTTTAGCTGATTGATACTCTTTTCCATTCATCTATTCTCTTAAAATTATTATCTTCATTATTGTTTTTTGATGTTCGATTACTTATTGTATTTCCTATACATTACGATCATCTGTCAGAAACACGCACGAATACACGTTATTTTCTGTCTGTCATAACTGTTGCCTCGTTCTGTTTTTTTTTCGTTGTTTTTTCTTCAGTTCCATGATTTCAATAGAAAAAAATCAGCAAAAACGTGTTGAAAAGTTTGATCAATCTGACTGAATTTTTATCACCCATTCATTTCCAATTCTCACTTTCATCAATCGTTGTATCAAGCAGCAGCAGCAGCACCGCTTTCTCCATTCTTTCTCACCTGTCGTCTATCTCTCTGGTAAATTCGTCATCGTCATTATTATTGCGATGAAGATGAATTACTTGTTCAATTAACTTATTCATTCATATTTTTTTGATTCATCATTTTCTTTCATTCTTAATTTCAAAGAAAATTTTATTGTTTCTCATAAAGCAGTTGATTCTATGAAGAAAAAAGTTTTCGGAGTTTCTATAATAATGATAATAATGCTTATTATTACTGTTATTATTATTATTATTATTATTATTATTATTACTATTATTATTATTATTATTATTATTATTATTATTATTAAATCACCAATCCCACAAAAGTTCTCGATAGTGTTTAATGATGATTATCATCTTAATTATTTCTTTTTCAAATTTAAATTAAAACTTATGCTGCGTATCAATCGCATTCATTCATTCATTCATTCATATTTTTACCACTATATTCTGGCAAAGTGTCGTTGTGCGCATAAACTGGCTTTACAAAAAACTAGATTTTGTTTCAATGATGGCGCTGACAATAATTATACGTTATCAAACGTACCCGAGAAACCGCTCGAAAAAAGTACATATGGAAAATTAGCCGGTGAATAATGCTGAAGACCAACAGGAGGAGAGATACTTGAACTGGATTTGAAAGAAGTGTGGTGCCGTTTCTTCTTAATCAAATGGGATTCAGTACACGTTGTTTAGTTGTGAGCATTGCGCTTCAAACTGAAATTTGAAGTCAAACGATTTCGTCTTATTACGATAATTAAACGAACTTCCCACACATAAAGATTACTGTATCTGTCGTTCGAACGTCAGTACGAATTGTTCAGTCTGAATGACCGAGTAAAACAAATAATAATCCTGAAGTGATGATATTTCTAGTATGTACGTGATGTTTGTGTGGCACATGCTTATCTCGTCGAGCCGTACGTATATTTGTTACATTCATTCGCCTGACTGACGCGCCGTTGGGCTGGACTCGTTTATAACTAGTAGATGTGGATAGTCACGTCACATACCTGAATAACTACTGAACAAGCATCATTCTGTGGCAGTTATTGTTTGCTGTTGTTGATGGTGCTGAAAGGATTGATGAATAAATTGATCAGTTTCAGCGTGGTTGCAACCTAAACGAAGATTAGGTAAAGATGAAGGGACCTGTGGATAATGCTACTGTTGTTGCTGCTGCTGCTGCTGATCATGCTGCGTCAAACGAAGACGAAACGAAAATGGTCACAAATCCATATTCACGTATCGAGGACGCAATGGAAAAGAAACGTAGGAATTTGGAAAAGAGAAAGGTACATATTCATGCCTTATTTCATCATTCACTTATCAGTTTGCTGGTTCACGATTGTGATCTTTCTTTGCACATATGGGTTACTTTTCATTTCGTTGATTGATTAAGAAATTGTTCGGATATACGAATTATTTCAGTTATGAGAAGTTTATTCCGAGTATAATAGTTTGAAAAGAATTAGAATGCCGATGGTTAGAGTAGTGTAATGAATGATTTTAGTCGTTGTTCAAGTAGGTATAAAGAGTTTGTTCAGATCCGTTTGCAACAATACGAAGAGGATGAACGTAATGGTAAGAAGTTGAGTGAGGAGCAACAAGAGGCAAGATCACGAATTGGTGAAGTGGAAACTCAACTGGAATTCATTAAGGACATCGTGAAGATGCTAGCAACAATTCAACGTGAATTCACTCGTTCGCTGAAGCAACGTGATGAGGCGTTCCGGAGAAAGGTGAGTCTCTTGGGCGTTATCCCTTCATATCTCTGAAGAGTACCACTGAATATGGTGATTTTTTGATTTGGTTTTATTATTATCATCATGATTTTTTTGTAGTTTGTCGAGTCCGAGCGAGAACATCTAGCTGAATTCATCTATTATCAGAATATATTTAGAATATTCTCGAAACCACATGTCACCAAAGCGCTTATTGATGCTGAGAATGGCGCTGAGCCTGTCAGTTGTTATTATTTACTTATTTTATGCAATTTTGTTTCTTCGTTTTTTTTTTCATTTCGTTTAGTTCTTTTATTAAACTTTTCTTTCCTTTCATTTTATTTTTTGTCGTTCAGTTGTTTGAATAAAATTTGGTATTTTGATGGAAAGTGAGAAACGATACAATAATCTACCAGTGAGTATCTCATTTTGTTTTTCAAATAGAAATTGACGATGGATGAATGGATGGATTTGCAAGACATTTCAACTGCATTCAATCCTCATTTACCACCGGTGGATACCACTCCAGAATGGATGCCAATGATGAGGAGAAGTGCTATTATGGCGAACTGTATTCTGTCTGGATCGAAAGAGAGAGTTATTGGCAAAGCAAATGGTACATTTACTTTGTTCGTTGTTGTTGTCATTTATTAACTATTGTCATTAAAGGAATGAAAGCAAGGCAACTGATGGAAAAGGCAGCCGGAATGGACTGTGTGAAAGATTTGAAGTTCGTGTTAAATCTGGTAACAGATTCGGATGATGATTTGTTGAGCGAGGCGGATGAAGATGATCATGAAGATAGTGTGGGTGGTATGGAACGAATTGGAGAAGGGGAGTGTGTGCACGATCGAGATGTTGCACAAGAGAGGAGTGAAGAAGAAGCTAAGAGACAGCAAGAAGAAGCCGATACTCCACCAATAGTCACCAATGCCGAGGAATCTTCTGAGTCAACGTTTATCTACAAAAGTGATCCGAAGGTTTTTTTTCATATCATTTAGCAGATGATAAGTACTCGTTGTTCGATTACATACGTGGTTGTATTTATATCATCATATCACATTGCAGTTAATTTAAGGTGATATTTGTTCATGGTGAATCTGAAAGACCGAAAAATGGCTGTGGTGATTTGTTATGTGAAACAACGAATACAGAATTTGGTTTTGAGAATTATGTGGTGCATGCGCAAGTGATTAACGAGCCAGTCATACGTGATCCGCCACCACCTATACCTCTTCCGAATGCTGCTGTTCAGAACAGCAGTACCGATAATAAGCATAATACTAGTAAAAATAAACAATTGTCATCAAAACAACAAACGTCGACAGCAACGACTAATAAACAACAACAAATTATAAACGCTGATGTCACTGACAATAATAGTGATAATAATAATGATGATAATACTAACGATAATAATACGAACAATAAAACAGTGGTGACACCATCTTCTACCACACCAACCATGCTCAATGATGCAGCACTACTAGCAGCATTACAAAGTGTTGATAAAGGTGAGTGAATGCATCGATTGTTTGACGTTGCTTTAAGTAATGATGTAACAAATAGAAGCTGCAGTAACAGCGTCGTCCAAGAATACAAACAATTGCAACGGTGATGAACAACAACGCAGCACTAGCATTCGTGGCCAGGGTGCTCTCCATAGGAATATGCGGATGGATAGGAGAGGACGAGGTGGCAGGGGTATGGCATCAGGGATCAGATCTCGAAATACTCAACAGAATTATCGATTCGATGCGACCAATAACCAATCGAATTATCAAGCGCAACCACAGTCGGTGAGAGCGTCTGGTGCAACTAGGGCATATCGTGAAGGTAATACCATTGGTGCCGTTTATCTTCCCATATATTTGTGTTTTCATTATTATTAGTAAGCAGTGATTTATGTATCATTCTTATAGTTGTTCTTACTGCTGTTGACTGCACTTAATTGCAATTTCAGGCGCGGGACGTTATATGGGTAGAATTGGTAGAGGTGGAAGTATGATGGTGAATAATAGTTATGGTGGCTTCCGTGGTGGTAATCGTGGTATGAATAATGGTCGTTATGGACAGGCGAATGGCTATACGGCTGGTGGCTATAATAATAGTAACGCATACGATTATGCAAGTTCACATCCTCATCGACAAGCGGGCTTCAATTTTGCAAATGATTATAAATAAGTGCTGTTTTGTTTTGATTTTTTGTTTGAAGATATAATCGACTCGATCAGTCATTCCTTAGTGAACTTGATCGAATGATTCATTATTATGGTTGTTTATGACTTGTTTTTATTGTTGTCAGTATCACAAGAGTCATTTCTCAAGAATTCTCATCCCTTCCATTCGAGTAATAAACTGATTGACTTTGTCACGTTGAAGTGATATGCCCATGTGTCTTTGAAAAGCAGTGTCACAGTTTTTGGATAAAGCAGTGTCGTTAGCGTATATCTCCTTCCATAAATCCTTTCAACGAAATGTTTCTTTATAATGTTTCCACTTTGTAAGTCTTCCATAATCAACGTAATCTTCATTTTAGGTGTTGGTACTGTAATATTGCATCCAGTTTGCTCCTTTTCTTCCTTTATCGCTGCTTTTCTTCTTTCATAACTGTTTTCTTGAAGGTTTCCTCTCTTAGACTTATTTGGATTTATTATAACATAATGATTTGGTTATAATCGTTGTTGTTAATTAATTCTGGTTTGCCGTAATTGCACTGTTTTTTGCTTTGTATTATTTGCTATTTTAATGCTCATTGAATACATCATGTTGCGTTTTCGATGATTTCATTTGAAAAATTCAATAGATGTTAGCATTAATATGCTGTCTGGTCAGAGTTGATGTGTATCAGGACAGAGTTGAAGTAAGTTAATGGGTTGTTATATGCATACCAAATAGTAGTGAGGAGAGGGACACGGGATATGCTTTGTTGTTGTGGTGTTATGTAATAACTGGTTATTATTAGTTTCGGATAGAGGAACACGGGGTATGCTTTGTTGTTGTGATTTTATGTAATAACTAGTTATTATTAGTTTCGGATAGATATTCATTATTGCTTACACTCGTCTTTGCGCGCTGCTTTCATGCCTGCTGTCCTCGTACTGAACGTATTCTGGAATTATTCTTTCTGAATTTTATTGTTTTTCGATTGATTAGTTCCATTATACGCATGCTTTTATTTTATAGTCGGTTCGACTTTTAATTGGAATCGAAGATGAGTTTATCTTCTATAGTGTAACCACGCTCAATGACGTTTAGTTGGCTGTTCATTCTCCGACTTTATATAAATAAATTCATTTATCATAGAATTTTATGCTATTGTTGTTGTTAATGTTGTTATTGTTATTATCAGTAAAAATTTTAATCACTGTTTATAATATCGTTATTTTTATTACAATTGTTATCTTTACTGTTATTATAATCATTATCGTTACTCTCATTCCATATTGATCATTCATTTGCATCATACATACAAATATTCTTTCCTTTCGTTTTACTTCTCATATTTTATTGATTACTTTTTGTTTATTGTCTCTTTGAGTTTGTTCAGTTGCAATTATCACTTTCAGTTGTTTATTCCAACAACCTTCATGAGAATAGTAATGGTAATATGTTTACTATTGTTGTTCTTTCTCATTACTATTCTGTTTCTTATTATGATTGTTGTTATTTTTTATCCTTTCGTTATGTGAAATGAGCAGGCAGTAATAGTGTTTGATTGGATCGAGTTGAAAACCGTTTCAGAATAAGTGATAGATTTGCTTAAGGTGGTTTATTTTGACTGTTGTGAAGTTGTGGTTGAAGTTGTTCGAGTAATTGTGGTAGTTAGATTTGACCGGCTGTTTTGGCGATGAATAGCATATCTCGTTGGAGATGAGTCCTTCTGTAAGCGGCACCGCAAATGGAAATGCGTCTTTTTCTTCCAATGAATTTAGCGCCTTGAAATTCAAGTTTTTTATTACTTCCTTTCTAAATAGCATTTAGTTATTCGCCTTTGTAACAAAAATGTGCAAACCCCATCCACTCGGAGGTTTAAAAAAACCTTCAAGCTTTTATTCAAGGAAATAATGTAAATTATATTTAATAGTTGACGCAAACAGTATTATTTTCATTGTTATTACTATGGTCATTAAATGTGCGGTTGAGTGGTTGTTTGTTCGTTGCACTGGATTGTTTACGTTTATTGTGATCATTTTGAAAGAAAACAAAGCAATATGCTTTACTGTTCATGAATAGCTTTCATCACAGATGGTTGGTTCTGTTTACATGATTGGTTCTGAGATGTCGAAATAAAATGAGATCTTTATAAATAAAACAGTTACGACATACAGCTTTCTTACTGATTATTGAGCACTGAACATTAATGTTTCAGCCTGTGTTCGGGAGATGACACGAAAACCCTCCTCTTGCCAATTGTTTTAATGTTCTGGTTGCCGCCACTTCGAATGTTTCTAATCACGATTGAAATTTTTACGTTACACTTGGAACCCATTGACCAGCCTGATCTTTCATATTTGAAAACAGTGTTGCACAGGGAGTTCCCGAACCCGGGGTCTCTGTCCCCGACCATTTTCGAGGACTGTCCTCGCCCTCAAAATGTCCCCGACCTCTCCAGAATTGTCAGCTCTCCCCAAAATTCCCAAAAAAAATTTTTAATTCAAGTCTGCCGCGACCATGCGAGCATAATAATAATAACATAGTAAACAGTAATAAATAATAATAACAACAATAATACAAAAATGACAGTTTACCTCACTGCAGTATTCACAAAGAACAGTTTGAGGAACAGCCAAAATCTGTTGAAAACTGTTCTATTCTATTCTTTTGGGCTCGAAAAGGCCACTATTCTATTCCAGACTCTTCCTTCCTCACTTGGGAACTGTCCTATTCTATTTCTTGGAATAAAACAGGAATAGAATAGCTTAACAGGAATAGAGTCATCACCAATGAAAATCCACTGCGGATGTTTTTTTCGCGTTTTAGGATAAACTCTGAACTTTTAGTTTTTTCTGCCATCCTGTCTCAGCTCATAACATTACATGATTGTCAACGAATTGAGTGGCGCTTCAATGAATTTTTCCTAGCGTTTTTCTGTTTTTACCCAACTTTTTGCTGTTTTCTTCAGTACTTTTGAACATGTTAGCTGTTATCGAACGTTGTGGCTGTTGTCACGCATGCCTATTAATTATACGAACGCATTGATGAAACATGAATCCTTGTGTTAATTCCTTCCAAGATTAAGGATATTTCGAGAGCTACACAGTGACATGTAATATGGCCGCATAGGTGAGTGTAGTAGAAAATTGCAGGAGTAGAGTGTGTATTCTGTTTTTGTCAAAAAAATTTTGCTGCTATACTCCACTTTCTCATGTGGTTGAATAAAATACTGTAGATAGAATTGCACTGTGCCTTCGGAGTTATCGCTTTTCTAGCCTAAAGATCGCTTATTTCAATGTTTTTCCATCAATAAATCATGTTTTCAAGGTCCTGCTGACTCTGATTCCAAAGTTACATCTTCGGGGTTCGGGGAGTCGGAGATGGGGATGAGGATGAGATTGAGTTTTCTCCCTGAAACTCCCCGTCCCAGACCATTTTCAGGGACTCTCCCCATCCCCGACTTCTTTTTCTCTCCCCGCACAACATTATTTGAAAGTGCATTTCACAGGCGTTTCGCATCAAAAGGCACTCTCATTTCTGTCCATTTGGATTTTTGACCACTTAAAAGCATGCAGAAAAGTGCAATTTGCAAAATTCAAACTCTCATACCTTCTTTGCATTCATTCTAATTTCTTGTTTCACTCTATTTTCTTCCATTTGTAGCTGTTCACCAAAGAGTCTCTGCCTCAACTCAGTCAACTGAAAACACGAGCTTTTATTTCGACTCGACGCGAACAGAGCCGCCGGCCCTATGTCATGGTCCAAAATTTGTAGTTTTCTCTAATTCTAAAACAGCTCATTTAGCCTTGTCAAATTACTGGCTCTTTCGATAATTGATGTAGACTGAAGAATTTCTTTACACCAGGGCTGCCAGGGAGTAAATGAGAGCATGAACAAACTTGTTGACAAATTTCAATTTTTTCGTCGTCAGTGAATGTTTTTTCATTGCTTTTCGTTGTAAATTGCTGAGATCTATATTCCCTGCACAATTGCTAAATAGACTTCCAAAAATACTTGTTTCATTCTAATTTCTTTCAAGCCACCGAGGAATTTCCGCACCGGTTTTTGATTTGTTCCTCACGTTATGCGTAGAAACGGTAAATTCTTTAAGTTGAGTGGAGTAATGATGGCCTGCCAGACCATCCGTAATGGAGCTCTCCACCGTGAAAAACACTAACCTATACGCAGGATTGTCCCTAGGAAAGTAGACGCGAAGTCGCGAGAGAGGGCTTCTGTTATGAAGGAACCCCCCGCAACCACGAGGTCCCTGCGCGACCCTTAAAAACTCAGATGAGAAAAGTAACGCAGTGATTCATCGTTTTAACTCACAATTGATTTATCGAAACAATTGTTGCATATATATATGAATGTTATAAATAGTAATGTCCAGGCTGCGGAGCCAAATAATGTTTTCGGCTTCATCAAAAAAATATCGCAGTAACACTCAGTGGCCGAAATTAAGACCTGGACGGTTGAAAAATGTCGCGAACTGAGACAGAATCGCCGAAGTTGTCCATTCCTTGCGACATACTATTCTGAACAACCCGTTGATATTCAAATGCCTTCGTGATTCCCAGTAAAAAAAAGTCAGCAAAAATAAAATCTTCAAGAAAGATAATAGAACAAAAATCTCATCTCGAAGAAATAGATTCAATGTTGAGGTGTTTCAATGTTGAGGTGTTTCAATGTTGAGGTGTTTCAATGTTGAAGTGTTTCAATGTTGAGGTGTTTCAATGTTTAAGGGGTAATGTAGAGGTGTTTCAATGTTGAGGTGTTTCAATGTTTAAGGGGTAATGTTGA